ATATATATATATATATATATATATATATATATATATATATATATAAATTTAAGTTTAATATTTAAATTTTTAATGTATAAATAGTCTTTTAAAATTTGGGGTGTGGGGATTTCATGTATATAGTATCTTTTCTTCAAAAGAAATGTGCTATCTTACCTTAAACCCCTTTCAATAGTATGTAATAAATAATGAATCTTAGATTTGAATACAATTTTAACAAATGAATTTCGATGTTAAACACTCTGCATTGAGTAATTTAGCGTAATAGGAGGACTGCATTCAGTTTGAATGAATAAGAAATAACATACAGTGAAGGAAAAACCTGAAGAAAAACGAAACAAAATTTTGAGGTTTGGCTGGAAGTGTTTAACATCAAAAAGGGAATAACGAGAGAATTAAAAAATACATAAAATAAAACATAATTTAGCTAATGAAGTCTGAAAGGAAATTTTGTCAATGGAAGCATCCCAGAAATCACCATGCTATTTTTTTCCCTTTTCCCCAATATTAATTTCATTACCCACCGTATGCTTCTTCTTCTTGTCTGAGGATTCTATGCGGGGATATATTCACGAAGGTTTGAATTTGAAGTCTTTTCCGATCTTTCTTTGTTGATCACCAACTTTTGAACCATGCAGCAGAATCAACTTAACACTTAAGTTTAAAATTCTAATTTTTGCCACTCTCCTTATTTTCACAGAGTTCCAGATATTTTAAATACCAGTAAAAGAAAAAAAAATCTTGCCTTCCGTATTCTTTCTTTGATATCTGCATCTGATCACCCCACCCTTACTAACCGTACCTACACAGTCCTCACCATATTATAGTAGTAATAATAATAATAATAAAGTTTATTTGAAAATCACGCTTCATCCCCAAAGGCTCGAAGCGCGGTACAAAGTCAACCATATTTAAAGAGAAATGAAAAAATCTATATTATACCACTTTGAAATACAAAACGCAACATTACAAAAACTACATACGAGAAAACCTATTCTAAGTCTTTCATCTCTTGCAAACATAAACAACCCAGGCCAATATACATATAGGAGATAATTGCCAGCTGGTAAAGATGGTAGACAACATCGCCCCAGCAGGTATTTACAAAATAGATAATTTCAATTCGGTTTTGAAATACTTTAGTGTCTGGCTGTTTCTGAGAGCGTCAGGAAGTGTGTTCCAAATTATTGGGCCAGCAAATGCCAAAGTGCGCCTTCCGTAAGTGTGCAGGCGAGCACGTGGTATCGAGAGTTTGCCACTATCGGATGAGCGAAGTTGTCTAGTGGGTACATAAGTCGTCATGAGCGCTTTGAGATAGGACGGTGCCAGGTCACGCAGGCAGCGGTAGCACAGAGTTGTACTCTATGCAAACGCGGATCGGCAGCAAATGCAAATCTCTCAGAAGTATTTTAGCATGGTAAAATTTGCGTTTGCGAAGAGCAATGTGAGCCGCATTATTCTGTGCTTTTTGAATTTTATCCATGAGCGTAGCTGGAAGACCCACCATGAGAGCATTGCAGTAGGCCATGCATGATAGCACGAATGCAGACTTCAGTTTCCCTCCAAAATTATTATTATTTAAAAAAAAATGTTTTCTACTTATCTCATACCAGTACCCAAAAGTTTAATATTTAATGTGCTTCTTCCACAAAAGCAATTTGGACTCCTCGAAACGAATTTATGTTTGATTATGTGTCATTTTTTATTCTTTGTTATTCTTTATTCTCAAAAGTCTTTTTTGGCTGCCTAGGCTTCCAGCCAAAATGCAGCTGTTTTGTTTTGCCTTTCCTCACGTTTTCCCCCTACCCTGAAATTCTGAATGGAATAAAGATGCATGCTTGCTGCTTTAAATACATGTATAACAAATCGAGAAGGAGAAAACCTGAACGATCACTAACTAATCAATAAACGTTTCAACTATAGAGTCTTCAAAAGCAAACGGGGGTGGGGGTCAAAAATAGACTTAGCTGATGGAAGTCAAAGATCTATGTTATATTTCATATTGCGTCAACCTGGACGCAATACTCCCCATTTCACTTTTAATTCATTTGACTTATAGCAAAAGTTTGCTTTACAAATTCTAGTTATGTAGTTGTTTTCAAAAGTTAAAATTCTCCTTAATTCTAAAGATCACAGGTCAATTCCAGCATTGCTCCATCATATTTAACGTGAACCGTGATTAATGAAGGTTACGTAACAAGTAGTGAGGAAATATTAACCGCTACTATCCCATAAAGGGTGAAAGAAGCCTCAATCTTTTCAAGGTGCGTCACTCATGGAAGTCCCATAATGCACTTCAAATGCTCGCACACATACACTAGAACTCTAAAATGGCGGCCATGTTTGTTGTGCTTTAACTATGTTGTCTACTCTAAAACGACAGTGTTTCACACCAGACGACATGTAAAGAGTCTATAGCCTTTTATGGATGTACGTAAATATTTGTATATTACTAGGCGTATTATTTGGTGTTAATCCTGTCATTTCTTGAATTTTTATAATTATTTTATCCACTAAACGGAATAGGAGCTGAATTTTCAACAATGTTTGCATGTTTAGTGGCGGGTATTGTGTAGAAAGATAGCATATGATGGATTATTTCTAAAAAAAATGTGTTTACAAACATGCATTTTCACACTTGCAATACATTTTTCAACAGAAATTGTTATTGTGTCGTGGTTGGATCAAATCTAACACGTGATATAAGCAGGAATGCGCGTTCACAATGCAAGAAATACAGGCATCTTATTCATGGGCGCCATCTTGAAAAGTCTCAAACTTTTTCAGACATGAGCGAGGTCTTTACGTTTATGACAAGTTTCGATCTGTTGAATAGTGTTTATTGTTTTGGGTCTGTTTCTGAACATTCCAAAGACACATTTATTGATTATTTTACTTTTTTACAAGTGCTGTATGGCTGTTATAATTTTTCGTAACCTCATGTCTTGTAAGGTGTTGAAAAAAATGGGGAAAATATCTTGATCAAACCTTGCATTTTTCTAAATGAATAATTCCAGATTATTTGCAGATTTCCCCATTTTATTAATCATAATTTACATTTTCAAAAGTTCCTCTTTGCATAAACATTTTCCAAGGGATTTTAACATCATTAATTTTATCAACAATATTATGAGAAATGTCTTAATTTCATCAAAATATTTCAAGGTGTATTTAGCTGCAAGTAAAAAATCTTTATTTCAGGACTTGATTTCACCAATAATTGAATGTGTTTCAACATAAATTTTATAGTATTAAAGAGTATTTGTTAGTGACTTTCATTTGACCTTAATTTTAAAAAAATCCATTGGGGACCCATTTGAGCAATTTTTACTTAAAATACATAGGCGCTAGAGTGTTTTAAAAATTATTCTTTTTTAAAAAAAAACAATCTTTTAAAAATAATTTGGACGATTTGAATTTTTGAATTGCTTAAATAATGTATTTTCACATTCTTTCTTGTTGCTTGTTACTGCAATGTCGGCCTTACTAAGTAGACATGTAACTTAAACATCATTTTCTGTCACTTGAAATGTGCCAATCTTTGATTAAATCAATGATTAAGTCAGAGCTTTTTGAAAATACATCAATGGTAAAGAAACATGTTTAATCCTTCACTTTCTCATCTGAAGAATTCTTCACTGGTAGAGAAAGATTTAAGATTTTCTAATACTCTTAAAAGTTATTGGGCATAAAATTTAACATATTTGTATGTTAATCTGCGCAGATGTTACATCCCAAAAGGTAGTTTATTGAATTAAATGTAAAGGTCTACATTTTACAATAGCAAAAAAGAATCATATATTGATCGTATTTATGTTGCAGATGTTAGATAAAAATATGTAACTGATAGAAATTGCATATACCATTATGTGTAAGAAGGCCTGCCATTCAAAATTCAATGTTTTTTCTTTAAGGAATCTGCCAATGATCAAAATTTTATGGCATAATTGAATGTGTTTCATCCTAAACTTAACATTATTCCATTCCATACATTATAAGAAGTAAAATAAATATATTTTATACAATTTATGAAGGGGACCCATTTTTGCTATTTTCCTGCAAAGTTAGAACTTAGAATTTGAAAAAAGTTTACGCTAATGTGAATATCTATAGATAGTGTGGTGAAAGTTTATTATTTCATTGTTTGAATCATTATATTTTGAGACCATATGCATTACATTTAAAATACATATGTATGTTTTACAATCTTATTGTAATTTAAAAGAAAATTCCCCCCAAAACACTTAGCTTCACAGTGGCGGTGAAGAACTTTACATGTTTATGTATAATTTTTGCTGTCATTTTCAATATTTATTTTCTGTTGTAGGGTTTTTAATTTAATAATTTTTAATCATGTGGTAAAGAATGAGAATTGTTAGTGCCCTTAAATTATTTGATACGTTTTCTTAGAAATTCCTTTGCTTATCACCTTCATGAAGAAGTTGAATTTTTAATATATTATATGAAGCAACGATGAAGTTTTTTTTTTACATGAAGTACACTAAAATAAAATTAATGCAGAAAAGATCTTACAGCTTTTTCTTTAATTGTATCATTTAGGTAGGGTTATCCTCACTACCTGATCTAACTACCCCCTTATTTGGGCCTAGCGGTAGCAAGAGCAAGGCTAGTGACAGTTTAGAAACGGAGCAACAGTCCCACTTACTAGGCAATGGCCATGCTGACTCGATGTCTGAATCAAGGTAGTGATATTTTATTTGTTAATTTGAGTGTTTTGATTCGTTTAAGGGAAAAATAAATTTATATACTTATATTAAAGTAGCAATTGTATGAAGTTTATTAAAATTAATTGGAAATATATATAATATATATGTTTTTTTCCATTAATAGTTTTGTTCATCTAAAATAAGTCACCATTTTAAAATGTTCTAATTTGTTAAGTGGTTCTTTTAAAGACCCTTTTATAAGACACACCAATTCTTTGTTTTAAATTATTGATCATTACTATCAGACTTAAACATTAATAAATGGGAAGGAATCTACTTTATTTTACCCTTGCTTTAAGGATATTACAACAAGATAACACATTGGTTGAAAATCCAAGGTTTTGAATTGCTTGGAAAAATATCCTTAATTCCTTTTTCACTTTTATATGGGTATCAGTTGCCAACTTAGCTGTGTCAACTGAAGTGCCTGATTATTCAGCCATCAAAGGTGCGCTTTGTGTTCCCGGTAATGAATAACTAACCAATCTATTTTTCTCTATTCATTTTATCAATGGTTTGAGTCCCGAAATTGAATTTTGTTTAGATGCTCTTATTTTTTATTGGTTCATAAATAAATTGTACCGAGTATAAAACTTTTAATTTTATAAATCATAGATATGTTAAATTATTATGGGATTTATTTAAGTTAATATTGAGAATATTTTAATGTCATGTTATGCATAAGAGCAGTTCTCCACCATTTTAATGCAGAGACCCCTTGATAACATTTGCCAAGTTTTGATGACTTTACTTAGAAATTGAGAAGTTAATGTGTGTGTGGGGTGGGGTAATGATTTTTATTTACTTATCAATATATTTATAACTTATACTTTTAATTGCTAGTTTATACCTGCTAATCTTGCATTTTTGTTTCATAATTAAAAGCATGATCATCTCACAACAAAGTATTTGGTACTACTCTTTTGACTTTTAAACAAATAAATTATTTTTGTAATTATTTTTTTCATATAAAACCAGTGAATTGTTAACTTAAATAAACTTTTGTGGGCCTATTGCACTAAGGACATCTAAAAGAAAAATCCAAAAGAATTTCAGTGGGAGTTAACTTAGAAGTTTTACCATTAAAAAAAATTTGAATAAAATCCATTTATAATGTAGTTTTTAAAAAAATGTACAGAAATCGTCAAAATTCAATTAATAATTGATACCAACAGAATAAATCAGTTTTTAATGCAGCTGTGGTGTAGAGATAATAAAAAACATACCTGATTCCTATAAAAAAATATATTTAAAATGAAATGGAGTAATAGTGAATTTTTTTTAAAAAGCATTCATACAAAAATTCAGAAGTATCAAGTGACACAAGGCATTTTATCAGACTGAGAACCACTGGTGCAGAACTAAAATTTGGAAAATGAAATGTTATGATTCAAAATGTTCAAGTTATAGGCTTAAGAATTATTTTGTTCTGCTTTTAATAGCAGCACTTCTGTATCAAATTTGAGCTTTCTTTCTTTAAAATTATATGTTATGTCTTTTAAAATATAAATTACTTTCTTTATTTTTCTCTAGTGACTCGAGTTCTCATTCTGACTCAGATGCGGAGACTGAAGATGTGAAAAATAAAAACATTTCCTCATCAGAGGAGGAAACTGAACTTCCTAAACAAATTCAGTTAACAGATGATGATGAGGATGATGATGATGAAGAAGATAAAAAATCGAAAGACTCTGGTTCTGATGACAATGTTGACTCTGAAAAAAATGATTCTCACTCCGAATCTGGTGAAGAGAAAAAGGATTCTAATTCTGAAGCTAATTCTTCTGATGATGAGGATGATGAAAACAAGAAAGGGGAGCAGACTAAAAATAAAAAGTCTAGTATTAAAAGAGCCCTCTTTGACACAGATTCCCAGGACACTTTTGATAATGAGACAACGCGCAGTAGCAGTGGAAGAAGAGTCACTGCTATCAGAGAATTAAAAGATGTATGTAGATTGTGTAGCTATAATTCATTTATTTATAATTATTTATTTTTAAAAAAAATAAACTTGGTATATTATATTTAGTTGTTCACTGCTATTTAAATTTTTATTTCCAATACATTTGAACAGATTATTGAGGTGAATTATTAAAATGCATTTCTCTGAGGCATAAGATTAATTATTTCTCTAAAGAGAATATGGTCTCCTATTTGCTGGTTAGGTAGGTGTTGATGGAATATTTAACATTTGATGAATTAGACAACTTCTTATTATGCTGAAATTTTACTTGCGTTAATGCTAATAGCTTCAACTATAATGTGGCTAAGTTTTTTCTTTGCTTTTTTTATACCTCTATAAAATAATTTTAATTTAAAGCTGAAAATTTAAATATATATGCTGTCATACATTCCATTATAAGATGCATAAATTAATAATGGCTCGGTGGGAAATAGTATAAAAAATGTGATGGTGTTTAAGAATTATTACTTTTACCCTTCAGAAACAAAGTAATTAGCAAATACAAATTTCGTTTATTTTTTTTAAAATTATGGTGAGAAGAAAGACCAAGTTTAATGCCAAATGTAAGGCTGTCTGCTAACAAATCTATCGAATTCATTTGTTCTAATGTATAGTGTCTAGTTCTTTATTCTTTTGTATTAGATTGAAACATAGTAAAAAAAATGTATGCATTAATTTAAGTTTATGAAGTGACTGATCAACTTAAAAATGTCTTTGAATTAACACCCCCACCCGCAATAGTTTAATTGGTTTAAGAGTTTTTATATATATATTATATATATATATTGTGTAAGAGGTAGTTAACCTCTTGATAATACAACTATTTATATAAATATTGTATATGCTAAGTTGAATGGTTAAAATTGGATGGACTATTGATCTCCTGGTAAAACTTTATATGCCTATAATTGTGAGGTTTCTTAATAAATGTGATTACAATGCAACAGTTACTTGCTGTTTGTACACATTTTAAATAACTCTGATTCTAAAAAAAAATTAATTTACATTTTGAACTGAAGATGACATTCTACAGGTTTTTATATTTTATTGTTTAGGGGCATGCAATGATTACAAGTGAATTATGGTTTCATCAAGATAGTTTCATGGGGAAAAAAGCGTTGTCATAATTTTACATTTTTTTCTCTCCTTTGTGAACAAAGATGATCATCAGTTGTTAAATTTATGCACAACTTAAAGTGGAATGATAATGTATATATAAAAAAAAAATATATATAAAAGTTAAAAACTCTACTTACTCCACTTCCCATTTCTCATATCTATTCTATTGAACAAACATTCATGTTGAGCAAAATGACACAGATTTATGGTATAACCTTAGTTGCACAACTCAAGACACAATTATTAACTTGTTTTGTTGCTGCATTTACTTTGTTCAGTAATAAAAATTATAAATTTTAATTCTGTGTCTTATCCAAATAACGCTTTGCAGAATCATTGTGACATTTTAACTTAAAGAGAGATACATGTACTTAAAATGTTGAATTTCTTTATTTGAATTCCTGAAGCATATTGCCTGAAATTAAAAAAAAAAAAACTACACATGCGTAATTGGGACACTTATTTATTATGATGATAGTGGTAAATGATGATTTATGCCTTGTTACAAATAATTTTCATAATCAATACTTATAGCATAATTTCATGAGTGTTTTAAAGCTCAAGATGTTACCGATAGATTTTTGTTTTTTAAAAGGATTTATAATTTCAGAAAAATAAGATTATTAATATGTCCGCTTTTAAATACTGGTAAAGTATTTTGTTTTTAAGCTTGTGGCAGGAAAAGAAAAAGTCCTCATTGAAATAATTTGACAGCTTGCAACAAAATATGTAAAATAATTTTCACCTTAAGCCTTGGGGGAAAAAAATTTTATAAGCTAGCACCCTTACAAAATTGTCCACATCAGTCAATACTCAGAATACTCACCAATGTTTGATAACTTTGAGCTTCAGCAAAAATTTTTGGGAATTTTCTCTTCTCAGGAGTGGGACCAAAAGCCTGATTTATATGGAATTCGGAGATCTGGCAGATCACGGAGAGAGGTGGTTCGCTATAATGTAGGGGTTGGTATCCTTCCCTTTCTTTCTTCCTTCCTTCCTTTCGCTTTTTTCTATTTTGGAGTTTCTACTATATTTTGTTGCTTCTCTTACCTCACCTAACTAATAAACATAAATGGTTAATGCCATGCTATAAAATAGCTCTGTAGCTAAGTAATATTCAAGTGTGTGTATATGTTTATATATATATGTGTGTGTGTGTATATATATACAAATAATTATGTTATAATTAAATTAATGGGTTGATTGCTAATTACCGGCAAAAGAAAATGCATTTGGTTGAAATTTCTTGAAATGTATTTTTGACAGTTGGTCCGCTTATTGTTTAATGTGAGGCATATTTTGTGACATTGTGATTCAACAGTCAGAATCAAAATGTTAGAGAATACGCTCTCTTGGTCAGGGGCGCCACCCTAAAGGGATTCTTGTGCCACTGTTATCGTGATTTTATGTTTTGTAGATCACAAGTAATATCATAAAAAAGTAAAATATATAAATTTTTAAAATGCTGTAAAAAATTATTTATCCATTCTTAATGCACATCATGAACATGGAAATGTATTTTAGTTTTTTTTTAAATTTAAATAATTTGAAATAAGTTAATCTTTTCACTCACTTAAAAAAATGTATTTCTATTTTCATTGAATAAAGACAGAAGATACTGTGATGTATCCATCCAGCATCATGGCTGAAAAATTTAACATGACAGCCTTAGGTTGGCCATGCCTACTCCAGGATTTTATATATATCCTGGGCAGTTAAATTTGGTGATCTGAAACCAATTTTATTTTAAGTATCATGTCACTTAAATTTTTACATAGTTTTGTCTGAAGCTGAAGGGGTTGAATTTAGACAATAGAAACATTTTTATATTGTTTTTTCGGTAACTGAAATCAAAATCACCACATCCTGTGAATGCTTGAATTTAGTAATGAACCAAAAACTTTCAAATGAACAATTCCTTTTACAGAAATATCTTGATGGTTATACCCGTGACTGTTTTTCTTGCCTCGATATTGGTTACTGATCTACTTTTTAAAATTTTGCTTCCATTTTCAGAATAGTGATAGTGAAGGTGATAAGAAAAAGAGAAGAAAAAGAAGGGAGTAGGTATTTTTTAAATTATGTTTGGAACATTTTTCAATATTAAAAAAAAATCTTGTGTTTTTTAAACATTCAATGTATTTGCTATGTACAGTTACGGATGGGCTGCTTTTGTCAACAACCAGATAGCCTATTTTATTTTGATATTGTTTTATAGCTCACCAATGACACATTTTAAATACATGAGCAGCATCAAAAATGCCCATTTTGCTTATTAAAAGAAAATAAGTCATATAAAAATAGAGTAATTCAACAAAATTTTTGGGAATTAGTTTTCTTGTTGTAGTGTATAAATTTCCTTTTTTCAACAGGTCAGAGGATTGGAAAAGTCAAGAGGATGAAGATGATAATGATGATAGTGATGAAGAAAGCAGTGGTAGCGCAGATTTCAAACCGACAAGAACTGCTAAAAAGTAACACTGAGACTTTTTAAAAGTTTTAATAGTGTCTTAGCATTTCTCTTCATACAATAACATTTATAAGCACTTTTTCAATAGTGGAGCAAGATAAATTTAGGCATGAGGAAAAAAAAAAAAGAAGACTATAAGGACATTCAGTAGACAATACAAATCACGAGACTAAAAATTATTTGAAATGTATATTTCCATTATTATTTTCACCTTTTATTTACTTTACGGCTTACACCTAGATTGATAAGATATAATAATAACTGGAAACATACATTGCACACTATTTCAATCTCAGGACTAAGCCCCCTCAACGTACAAACAAAAAAAGAAATAGTAAAGCACAACCAAGATTTAAAGGAAGGAGTAAAAATTTGTCTTCATCTGAGTCTTCCGAAGATAGTGATTCTTATAGTAGACCAGTGCCACAAAGAAAAACGGCGCAAAAAATTAGGTAAGTGTTACATGTAAATTAGAACAAAATGTATGTAGTCTGGTTTGGCTGATCAAAATGTATTGAAGGAAAGCAATAATTTGATTGTGGAATATTGATGCATTATTGTCATGGACGATGCTGCTGAACTACTTACTTGTGACTAAAATGGCTTTGATTTTAATTTAAAAGTTAATATACTGGTGTGTTAAATTTTCTACTCTTAATTCTTTTAGTTTCAATGAAGTTCATTGTAAACCGAATGATTACTTTTTAAAAACCAATATTTGAGTATTATTATTTATTTTTGCAATCTAATTGTTCTAACATAAAGCATCATGACAAAAGAACATTTACAGTTTTGTATTTATTAGTATTTTCACAAATGTTTTTAAAAAAAATCTCTAATTCTTTAGATTTCAGACAGTTGCTGCCATCTATTTATGTAAATTGGATATTTGAATTAATAGTAGTTTAAATACATTGTTAAATGAGAGGAAAAATAACATCTATTTGCCAAAACCAGAATATATCGGTATATATCAATAAATAACATGCTATTGGACTTCAAAATCTAAATAGTATAATAGTATAAAATACTTTTCAGAAATTGTACATTTTAAATCAAAATTTTCTAAATGGCCTTTGAAGAAAATAGAAATAAATTTGTAACTTAAACTTTTATTCTAAACATAGGAGCAAGTATTCTAATCGCCCTATCAGGTGCAAAGTTTCTAAAAAGGCTGTTAGGTAAGATGGTGGGCTTATCATTTGTATAAAAGCTTGCTGTCTATGTAGTAGATTTTTGCTGTTAATTTTGCACTTGCACTGTAGAGTGTACTTTTATTATGGTAAAGATACATATCATGTGAATGTCTCCCTAACAGGATGAATGAAAATAAAATATTTTTTAAATGGTAGAGACGTCACTTAATGGATTGTCTGCCAAATTCTGACTTTTTTTATGGACTTCAATTTCTCATTTAAAAGCAGATGTTATTTTTTTTAAATTTTACATCTCGTCCAACTACTTTTTCCTTTTAGCTGCAGACTCATTACATTGACTTTGTAGGACTATAAAGGCTAGATCTGTCACCGTTTTGAAAGGGCTAAATCTTGTCTTATAATATTGTAAAGAATTTGTTATAATCCCTTTAAAATTGTAAATATAGTAACTAATTTACAGTCATAATTTTGCAAGACATGCGCTAATGTTAGCTGTCCATAATTGGTCATATACTTGATGATAAAGCTTATGCTTACGATACAAGCCTTTTTTTTCATTTTGAGTTATAAATATTAAGTATATATTTTCAGATATAACAAAGGAATTGTTTTACTTTTCAGATATATTAAATTATAAATATGTACAGAAATAGAGAATAATGTTAATAATTGCTTAACAGTCCTACATCATGGATGATTATCAATACAAAATAGTCCATATGATTTATTAGCTATTTTACCGCAGTATTTTTATTTGCTTTTGACAAGAAAGGCATTCCAATCGGTATATTTGTTATCTTAATGATTTAAAATGGCCTTTTTAAAATTAAAACAAATCTAGTTATATAACCACTTCTGTTTTATCAGCCAAGTTATTTTGAAGTCTTCCACAGATTATAATAATTTAAATAAAAGTTGCTTTCATACTGATTTTATATGAATATCTAAGCAAACAATTTAACGCTTGAAATATAGTTCTGATCAACTGGTGCTTCTGAACACAAATGTTGTAATAGTTTTTAAATATTTTTTTTTAAGGTATAAGTATTTCTTTTTCAGGAGGATGTATTTGCTCAAACTGTGTTAGCCAAATTACTAAAAATTTAACAATATTTCAGTTACAAAGAAGACACAGATGAAGCAACAGACTCAGATGATATAATTGAAGCAGCAACTCCTATGGCTGATGTTGAAGAAGAAAATAGAGAGACTATTGAAAAGGTGCTAGAAATTAGGAGGGGTAGAAAAGGAGGTAAGATTGAGACTTTTATGAGTTTTAAACTATGGATAGCTAGAGCTATTTAAATATATATTTAAAAAAAAATCTCTTGTGAAGATCATCAGCTATTTCATATTTAATAATGCATAAAAGTATAATAATTTTTGGAATTGCTAATGATTTACTCATTCTTTTTCTTCATTGATTGCTGTGCTGATATATAAATACTTTTATCAACTGCTGACAATGATTTATTTTACCATAATTCATCCTGTTTAATAATAGTCATAATTTTAACTTAACTTTTTCAGCGACTGGTCACAAAACTACTTTGTATAATATTAGGGAGAATAGTGATCCTAATACAACACCGCTGAAAGATGGAGAAAAGGAAGAATTGGAGACACAATATCTTATTAAATGGAAGGGCTGGTCCCATATCCATAATACATGGGAGACTGAAGCTTCATTGCGTGAGCAAAAAGTCAATGGTATCAAGAAGCTGGAAAACTTTATAAAGAGAGAGGGAGAAATAAGAGATTGGTAAATTGATTTTTTTTTTTTTTTTTCAAAAAAAAGAAATGTCCCTCTCACTGTATATATTTTAAAAGTAAACTTTCCAATCTATAAACATTTATACATAATGAGTTAAAATACATGTGTGTATGTTAATCGTAATCTCCAAATATATTTTTTTTAAATATCTAATAATGAAAAAAATATTTTTAAACTAGGAAGGAAAATGCCACACCAGAAGATGTAGAGTATTATGATTGTCAGCAAGAGATGATGCAAGATCTAATTGAGTCACACAAAACTGTTGAACGTATTATATGTAAGATACACAAATTGTGTTTTAGTTACTGTACTATTTTAAGATAAGTATTCTGTAATTAATATAGCAATTTCTGTGTTTATCCAAATGTAATTTTATTGATTTGTCTTGATTTTAATCCTTTTTCCTCTATGATTTACTTGAACACAGGTCATCGTAAAGAAAATAATGGTTCAGCAGATTACATGTGTAAATGGCAAGGTCTACCATATTCTGAGTGCACATGGGAAGATGGGGAGCTTGCCTCCAAGCTGTTCCAGAGCCATATAGACAAATATCTAGCAAGGAACAAATCTCAGTGTATTCCCACTAAGTTAACAAGGGTAAGCATTTTCAAGTTTTTCTATAAGCGTGATTTTCTTTATTTGATTTGTTAATTTTTAAATAATTGTCTTCATATTTTATAACACCTAGCCTGCGATCAACCTCTATCTATAAATATTTAACAGGTTTTAAAGGTACGTCCAAAGTTTGTTCCATTAAAATCGCAGCCAGAGTACTTAGGAGGAGTTGAAAACTTGGTGTTACGTGACTATCAACTGGATGGTTTGAACTGGCTTATACACTCTTGGTGCAAGTAAGGAAATATATATTCTTTCAATTTAAGCATTGAAACAATTTCTCAGCTTTTAATAAAAAGTTGTGTTTGAATGACAACTATGTATCAGTTTTTTTTTAGATAATCTACTATATGCTTTTTATGATTAAATATTTAAGAATCTGAATTTGAATCTCATGCAGTAAGAGTTGAGTAAGTTAATTTTCAAATCAAAATTTTATTTGATTTTAAAGTATTTTGCATTTATGTTTTTCAACAGAGAGCATTGTGTGATTCTTGCTGATGAGATGGGTTTGGGAAAAACTATTCAGATCATCAGCTTCATTTCTCAGTTGTTCAATCAGTTCCATTTGTATGGGCCTTTTCTTTTGGTGGTTCCCCTGTCAACAGTAGTTGCTTGGCAAAGGGAGTTGGAGAAATGGGCCCCAGAGATGAATGTTATTATATATATTGGTGATGTCAACAGTCGAGCCGTGGTAAGTTGAGATACAGATTCTGTGAGAATTAGGATAAAGAATCTGTGAAAGTTATAAATTTCCAGTATTCTCATGTTTTCATTTACTTTCTATCAATCATTTTTGCTTTTATAACTAAATTTACAGTCATAAAAAGTAATTTCCTCTTCTAGATAAGAGAGCAGGAATGGAGACATCCTGGAAACAAGCGGCTCAAGTTTAATGTTCTAATTACTACTTATGAAATTTTGCTAAAAGACAAGGTAAGAATCTCAACAGTTTTATAGGTGTAAGGGATTGTGGGATAATATTGCTGAATCTATTTTAAATTATAGCTTATACAAAAAAATCGTTAAGAAAACTAGAATTGCACATAGTAAAAGTATTTATTTCTAGTAACTATTTAGTGAATTGTTTAATAAATTATTGTACTGTTGAACATTTTTAGGCATTCTTAGCTGCTGAGTCATGGGCATTCCTTGGTGTTGACGAAGCTCACAGGTTGAAGAATGATGACTCTCTGTTGTACAGATCATTAGAAACATTTGATACAAACCACAGAATATTGATAACAGGCACTCCATTGCAAAATTCTTTGAAAGAGCTGTGGTCACTGTTGCATTTCATTATGCCAAATGTGTAAGAGTTTTCCTTTTTTCCTGGGAGTAAACAATTTGCTTTCATCTAATAAAGGTTTTAAACTTTTAACTTATACATGAGAAAACTTTAAAACCTAATAGCAGAAATATTATGCTTGGAAGGGATTTATTTACTACTAATTATTTTAATTAACTAAATCGATTACTGAATACTTTAATATATTTTTAAACTTTATTGGTTTGGGAAAATATATTCTTTCATCTATTTTGATTGTTGATTTAAAATTGTTTATAATCTGCACAATTTATTAATAATATTTGTGAAAGTTGTGTGCTTTAAAAGTGCCTTATAGAAGTTGAACAATTTAAAGTTTCAAAAATATTAATGGTTTCTCATTTATGGCCCACATAGATTCGACAGTTGGCCTGATTTTGAAGAAAAACACTCTAATGAAGAGGGCAAAGGATTTCTCTCCTTGCATAAACAGTTAGAACCATATCTGTTGAGAAGAGTAAAGAAAGATGTGGAAAAATCCTTACCTGCCAAAACTGAAAGAATCTTACGGGTTGAGCTTTCATCATTACAAAAGACTTACTATAGGTAATTGTTTCCATAAACATATTTTCCATTACATATTTAACAGTGTTATTCAGTAATTTTCCTCAGGGATTACTTCCACTCAGAGAATAGATGCCTTACTTGGTTAAGGAATGTATTTAAAAGTTAGTGATGGCCAAGACTATAATCAAACCTGCAATCTCTAGGGCTGGAGAGACACCATGAGGAAATATCTTTAATGTTTGTAAAGAACTAAATGAAATTATATTTTAATACTACCCACTTCATAACTTAACTTCACACTTTAACTTTTCTTTTCTTTAAAAGAGGATTAATAGATTCTTCAATTATTATTATTTTTTGTATTGCTTACATTATGTAGGGCTATACTGAAAAGGGAATTTCGCACACTGATGAAAGGTTTGCGTGGTAATGTGTCATCTTTTGCAAATATAATGATGGAATTAAAGAAATGTGCTAACCATGCTCACCTTGTTGTGCCATTAGAAGAAGATCCATTACCTAAAGAAAAACTACAGGTTTGTATTAATTTATTGTATTCATATTTATAATTTAATAGTTTCAGAATATTAGGGTTTCTTAATATATTTCTTGTATTTTTAAAAGTGAGGTTTTCAAGCATGTTCCTGTGCATCATGAGGCTACTTTGGCATAAGCATGTTTCACCAAACCTGAAATATTTTTAGTCATATTTACAAAGTTTACTACTTGCAATCAAATATGTAAAAATAATAAACATAAGGTAGTTGAATTAATGCCAATTAAAATAGTTTTATTTTATCAGGTACTTTTGAAAGGGAGTGGTAAATTGCTGCTTTTGGATAAATTATTAGTCAGACTGAAAGAAACTGGACACAGAGTTCTTATATTTTCTCAAATGGTCCGGATGCTGGACATTGTTGCAGAATATCTTCAATGTAGACACTTCCAATATCAAGTAACGTTTCAGTGTTGTTTATTTTAAGTGTAACTAATTATTGACGTAATATGCATCTCTGGATGAAAAATTAGACCTATTGAATTCTAGAAGATTTTGCTTAATATTTTTTTAAACATTAATATATGCTCTTTTTCTTACATTATCAAAAGATATTTAAAATTTGTGACACTAGTTTTTATTTCTAATTTTAGCGACTAGATGGAACAATTCGTGGGGATTTAAGGAAACAAGCCTTGGACCACTTTAATGCAGAAGGCTCTCAGGTAACCAGAGTTGACCTTTTTTTTTAAACATTTTTTTTTAATAGCTTATTTAGGTCAATTTTTTGTTATATTTTTGACATAAGGGGCTGCTATTCGTGAGTGAGATTATGCCTGTCTTATGATGATGTGTGATAAGTGTCAAATTTGCATTACAAATTGGGGGGGGGGGGGGGGGGGGCGCAGGGTTAATGTCGGCCAATAGCATGACGTCTTTTTATGTATGGTTTCTTAAACAAATTTTTGCTTTTAATACCAAATTTATTAATAGCTAAAAGATATTTAAAGTCATAAATGATTTTGATACTCATTTTTTAAAGAGAAATATTAAATTTCATGTTCGTTTTTTCTTCCTAATGTTAGTATAATTTAAAAGCAAATTTGGCACTTAAACGATACAAGTTTTATAATTTATGAAATCAACATACAACATAATCCATTTATTAGTCAAGATAATGTCAAATAACCAAATCATTGTAAACATTATTCAGTTATAAATATTCCAGGATTTCTGCTTCTTGTTATCAACTCGAGCTGGTGGCCTTGGTATTAACTTGGCAACAGCAGATACAGTTATTATTTTTGATAGTGACTGGAATCCTCAGAATGACCTTCAAGCCCAGGCTAGAGCTCATCGAATTGGACAGACAAGACAGGTAAATTGATAAAAAAAATGTAAAACATAAAATTTGTTTAAAACCAAACATGGATCACTTTGATGAAAGCATTAGCTTTAACCCAGCTCTCTGAACCATTTTCATGGCTTTGAGGATAAAATAAACCTGAGTGATCTCTTTATTTTTCTTTCTAAATTTTATGCAAGAAGGATTGTTAAAGACCACTAACCCAGATTTTTATGAAGATTTTGTTAAAGTAGAAAAAAATTCTTTAGATTGCTTATCTAAATGTGACAATTATTATACCTTCTCTTAACTCATTCCCTCCGGCAGCGCTGCTTCCGGACTTAATTTATTTTCCTGAGAAAAGGGAAGCAACTCAGTTTTGAAATTGATTTATATTTTTAAAATATTTTTTTAAGTTGCTAAATATTATTTAATGTTAATGAATTAAGAACAAATGCAACAAAAAATGAATAAGGTTTAATATAAATATAACATTAGAATAGACGCGCCGTACTAAAGCACACGTAGTTTTAAAGTGAAACAAGATAAAAACTTCCGGTTTCTAAATTAAAATCACGCAGAAATCACGCCATAGCCGGAAGTCTCGAGGGGTGCGAGATTTCATTTCTATTTTTAACTAAAAATAAGAGAGGTGTGTCGCTATGCGCCGGGACGCATTTGGACGCATCAGGAGGGACCCCCCGAGGACGCATTTAGTCGCAACCGTCGGGAATGAGTTAAATATTTTGGTTAACAAAAATCCTGCTAAGAGTTTAATATTTTTCTTACTTTAAGGAATACATTAAAATTCAATAAATATAATTTTAGGTCAGCGTGTATCGTCTTGTGACCAGTTCCACAGTAGAAGAAAAGATTGTAGAAAGTGCCAAGAAAAAAATGGTGCTGGATCATTTGGTCATTCAGAGAATGGACACAACTGGTAGGACAGTACTTGATCGGGGATCAGCTCCATCCAGGTTGGTATACATTTTTAAGTGCTTTATTTTAAACAGGTCAATATTTTTTTTTATTAAATGTTAATGTAAGTTAATGAGAGTCTGAATATCTTAAATGATAGAATTTATAAAATGGGAGCCTGTCTTATTCCTTATAAATATTATTTGTTTTAAATGCACATAGGTTGCTTATCTGAGATGTTTGTTTTCAAATTAACTTTATCAATTTAATAGCATATATTCTAAGAACTTCTTTAGCCAGCCTTTTAAGTATATATTTAATATCATAAAAGCAACATATAATTTACGTTCATTTAGCAGTGCTGTTCCATTCAGTAAAGAAGAGTTGTGTGCTATTCTTAAGTTCGGTGCTGAAGAATTGTTTAAAGAAAAAGAGCATGATGATGAGGAAGAGCAACAGGTAAGATTACTTAATCCTATAATAAATTTAATAGAAAATTTCCTATCTTCTTTTTTGGTTATAACCAAAACCTCTACAGAAATCATCTATGAATATTTATATGATATTTTGAATAAACCATAATCATGGCTACTCACTTGAAATAATTTTTAATAAAGTCTTAAGAATTTTTAAAATAAAAAATATGGTGATATTTTTAAATATAAAGAAAATTATAATTTTGGCATAAAAAATTATTTATTTTCTTATTTTTTTTACATCTTAATAACCAAAAATAGATTACGTTAACAAGAATCCCATTGGCAGCAGAATACATTTTTTGAAATTTAACGCAGACTGGTGCCATTATAGTTGGTGTCACCTAAATCTTCATGTACATGACCAAACACAATCATCTGTTTATGTAATCTTGTAAATTCAAGGCCATAATGTTCATATGACATAATAAAAAAAAAAAAGAAAGGAATTCGAGTTGGCAGGATCATTGTAACCTTGAGCTCAGCTCAACATTTAAAATCCATTAATTGACTTTCAAAACTGGAGTCATCAACTTCTTTCCTTTTTAAAGAGGAATATTCAAGAAACACTTCAATATGTTCAATGGTTTCGCAAACATTATTCTAAAATACATCTGGACGCAACCTGTTAGGCTGCCCACACTGCTCTGGAGTCAACCCGTAGTATATCTACTACAAACTCCACCCTTTTAAATTTTTTATTTTCCAAATAACGTATTGTTTAAGCAGTAAAAAAAAAAAGAAATCCTGTTATGTCTTTTTCATTTCTTTTTACTTTTTTTGTGACTATTGGATTTGGAATTTAATTAATTTTAAATGTCTTTCTTATTTGATTTTAAGGTTGACATTGATGATATTTTAAATCGTGCTGAGGAGCATGAAACTGAAAGCAACACAGTGGGAGATGAACTTCTCTCCCAATTCAAGGTGGCAAGTTTTGGTAATCTGGAGGAAGAAGCTGAAGCATCTCGGGCCAGTTTTGGAGAGGAAGGTAACCTATTGTCTTTTTGAGTTTTGCATTTATTTTTAAAAAATGACAAACAACATAAATTTACCAACAGTTTCTTCTTTCATAAATATTTTTTTGTTTTTGTTCTGCACCTTTAGGGAAAGACTGGGAAGACATCATTCCAGAGGAAGTTAGACAAAAGATGGAGGAGGAAGAAAGGCAGCAGAAAATGTTGGGGCTTGAACTTGGGCCAAGAAACAGAAAAACAATCAAACAGGTGAATATTTGTAGTTTTATTTGTTCAATCATTTAACTAATGTAATTTTATATTATATTTAATGCAAGATTAGATTTTAAAATAAAAGCTTCCATATATTCCAGCTTCAGGTTGATTACGATTCTGACAAAGATAATAAAAAGAAGCGAAGGAAAAAGGGTCAGTCAGAGTCAGAAGCAAGTGATGAAGAAGAAGAGGAAGATGATGAGGACCAGCCGCGTAAAAGGGGTCGACCTCGAGGTGGTACAAAAGATGGCGTAAAAGGATTCTCTAATGCTGAAATAAGGCGCTTCGTAAAAAGCATAAAGAAATTTGCAGCTCCTCTAAAAAGGTATATTTGGATTGATAATGTAACACATATATTTAATGTTTGAGCTTGTAGGTTTTCTTTCTTCTACAATTACATTTTGAATACCCTGTTCTTTTTTGTAAACAATGGGTCAAATTTATAAAATGGAATCGTATAACTTTTTTTTCCCCTGGAATTGAAAGGTTTAAAACCCTGTCCTTAAGAGCTTTTTAAAAATATGCTTTAGTGATAGGTGTTATGGAAATAATATATTTTAGAGACTTTTTAAACTAAAATATTGTCTTGCAGACTTGATGCAATTGCAGAGGATGCTGAACTACAGGAGAAAAGTGAGGCTGACCTGCGACGATTGGCTGAATATCTAAAACGTGCCTGTGAAGAGGCCGTCAAAGAACACAATCAGAAGTTGCAGGAAATCCCCAATCCAGAGGGTAAATTTTGAATAAAACAATTACTAGTAAATTTTGTCCTAATCTTATTTTAATGTGGGATAATATAATACGATTCACCGCCTAAGGTGAATTGCATGTGACACTAAAATTATTTAACTTAAATGTTTATAGATTGCAGTTAATACTCATTAGTAAGCCATTTCATTAATAAGCCATGGAAAAGCCTGAAAAATGTGTGACCAGCTCATTAGCCTACCCCATAAAATAATATGCCAGTGGAAGCAATACAGTACAAAAGAAAACAATTTAACAAAAAATTCAAACTTTAAAAATTAGAGTAAAAAGACTTTCACTAAAAACTTACAGCATTGTGTATAACAAATTATGAATATTTCCAAAAATAGGACCTCAGCAATCTACAAAACAATTATTTCACTATTTATTGTAGGTTATTTGATACTCTTCTAAATATGGCAGTAGCGAAATGAGTTCAAAACGTGACCCAATTTTGTACACAGCTTTATTTTTATTTCTGTTATTAACTTTCTTCATCATTGGAGAAAATTGTACCGGTATAAAATCTCTTGTGACCCGCTCATAAACCGACCACCCCACTAATTCCCCTGAAACATTTCCAAAAAACTTGTATTTATGAATAAGTATATATGGTAAGTGTCAAAAACCTTGATATAAAAAATTGTACTCATGATCTGCTCCATGTCATAATTCAAAATAATTAAAAAAATTATATTTAAACATTTCAGCTGGTAAGAAAACCCATAAAGGGCCATCATTCAAAATTGCCAGTGTCAGCATTAATGCCCAATCTTTGCTGAAAGCTGAAGATGATCTAAAACCTCTTGCTGAAGCTATACCAGAAGATAAAGAACTACGAAAGAAGTCAGTTCATCTCTAATAAGGACCTATTCTACATTAGATTAATACATTAGGGTGTCTTAACCTTTTATCATAGACTTTGGATTTTATTCTAATGAAATCTTTAAATGTCTTTAGATTATATTTTAGTTTGGGGCTAGTGGGAAAAAATCCCATTCATGAACCAAATTATTCTAAGCTCTGCTTTAGAGTTATTGTTATGTCATAATTCAACTTATTGATCGTGGCATTCAGTAGAAGTAAATTAATATAAAATTGTACTTTATGTTAAACTATTTGAGAACTGGATTAAAAAGTTTTTTTGTTTTTTTTAAGGTGGCGTTTGGATCAACCAGTAAAGAAAGTGCATTGGGACTGTTTTTGGAACATTGATGATGATAGTTCGCTGCTCAAGGGAATTTATGAGTATGGCCTAGGGAGTTGGGAAGCCATCAAAATGGATGAAAATTTAGGCTTGTCTGATAGGGTAATTTAATTAGATCTTCAATATAATTTTTTTTTTATTTTAATGAATTGTATTTTTGTCATCATGAAATTTCAAATTCTAAAAATACTTAAATTTAGGGTTTACTGTTGTATATTAGATTATTCTTTGCCTTAGTGTTATGATTATATGCAAGTTTGATAATTACCAATTTATTAGCCTTGCCATATTACCAATGCAGAAAAATCTGCCTAGTAATTATTCTGTAATATTGTATTTTAAAATTCATTTTGTATTCATTTGTAGGTATTTTATTACATTATATTTAATACGACAATTATAGAGACCTTATTTTTTGATACAGTATTAAGGTATTGGGTGTAAGAGTAAATTTGAAAATATTAAAATAAAGTACCCAAGTGTCCTTTGGATTCTCATGCAGCTGACCATCTCACTGGTTGGGGGAAATTTTAATTTCACCAAGAAAGTGGTACTAAGTGTAACCAGATTTGCATGAAATGTGCCATTGAGCATGAAGCTTAAATTAAAAGTTGACTTATCCAATTGGTCAGTGCAAAAGTTGTTTGCAAGGCAGAGCTTGGGCAAATTGCATTTTTCTTCAATTCATGAAAGCAAAATATGATAGTTCTTGAAATTAGAACTCGTCAAAATAATACGCTATATCAAGTCATTGCATGATAGATAAATGCACACAAAAATAATGCACCAAATATGTCCTTGTGTGCAATCTACGTCTGTTATTAACAGGAGAATCCTTAGAGACTACCTAAATGGTGCCTAGAAAATAACCAAATAAAAAATCTCAATAACCAGTGTCAAGTCTTCATCGCAAGGAAAATATTTTTCACTCATTGTGGAGAAAAAACACTTAATAATAACTTTATTTGTTGTTAATAATTTTATGAAACCATAATTAAAAAAAACATCCAGGATTTTATGAAAACAATCGAACATTTGGATAGAATTTTATTTTATAAAAAGGTTTTAACCAATTAATTTTAAGAAAAGGTCAAACCAGTTAACAGCAAATGTTGTACAAGTCAATTACTAATTATTTGCTGATAATCAGTGCAAGCCTACTGAGACTTTAGGATGCCTTACAGGTTAAATCTTTTATAAGATTGATTTAAAACATGCTTAAGGGTACAAAGTTTAAGTAACATTTCCTCTTAATTTTTAGATTCTACCAGACGGAGAATTGAAACCACAGGCAAAACATTTACAAACAAGAGTAGACTATCTCTTAAAAGCAATGAGGAAAGATGTGGTTACAACTCCAAATGTAAATATTTTGCCTTTATATATCATCTAAATTTCACACTTTCCTTATTAATTAATAATCTTGACAAGTGGTTCCCAACTTTTTTGATTCTATGCGCCCTTACTGAATCCATTTTTTCTTAGTAGGCGCCCTGCTTCAAATTCTACACTTGATTTCGCCCCTATCTCATTGAACAATAATGGAAATAAAAATTATTAATATTTTGGTTAACTTTTTTACTAAAATTCTACAAAATATATTGTAACTTTTTTTTTAAAAAATTTCCAGAAGCCAACAAAGGCAAGGAAAAGAAATCCCAAGTCTAAGGCTGAGATAATTGACAAAGATGATTCAAGTAGTTCTGATGAAAACAAGGAAAAGAAGTCACAAACCACAGAAATAACAAATAAGAAAAAACAATCTGCAAATGAAAAAGATTCCAAAAAAGAAAATATTCTTTCTGATATCAGTGACATAGAATTAGACACAGATGAGGAATCCAAGCGGAAATCAAAGACTAAAGGGAGACCGAAGAAGTTACCCAAAGAGAAAGATGGCAAAGGGGAAAAGGATAAAATAATCAAAGGAAAGACAAAGAGTAAAAAGAAGGTATTTTTATAGAGATATTTTACATATTTTGGAATGATTTTTTAAAATATAAAACTAAGATGTCTTATAAAACTAAGATGTCTTAAGTGTTATAATAATTGTAAAAATGTTGTCTTGATTAAGATATGTATTTATTAATGTGCTGAGAATGACTATATACAATGTAATAAAAAACATTTCATTAATTTGGATCAATAACAGACTCTTATCTTATATGGCTATCCACAATTGCAGTATCCCTGGTAGATATAATAATTTATTGAGTTTCATGACTAAAAATGTCAAGTTTATCATAATTGAACCTTTGCAGCAGTCTGGCCCAATGCATTTCACAGCATCTTCTGAGCCCAAAGAAATAGCAGATGAAGCTGAAGAGGAAGAGAGACAAAAAATGGAACCTAAAGTTTTTGAAGAGGTACATTGAATAAATTTTTCTTTGAAAATAATACAAATGTAATAGATGGCTTTAAAATAAGAAACATTGTTGCGTATTTTATAACTTAGGCTTTTAATTTGCTTTACCCTGTCATATATTGTTTAAGTGACGACCCTAATTTTCCAGTGTAAAGAAAAAATGCGTCCTCTCAAGAAAATACTTAAGCAATTAAGCGAACCTGATGAAAGTTTGGGAGAAAAAGAACAGGTGGCTTTTATACGCAGTATCCTGCTCAAAATAGGAGATCACATCAATCAATGTATAGAGGAGTATTCAGATCCAGAAAAGATTAAATTTTGGCGAGAGTAAGTTGTAATGCTGATCACAATACATTTTTAATTCCGAATGTTTAAAACTTAACACAGCTGTTTTCTTTCTATATTGTAATAATTTGAATTTAAAATTTTTGATTTGAAGCTAAAAGGTGTAAACATATTTTTCAATGGCATTTTAATCTCATAAATGCATATAGATACATTTAGATACATCTAAGAATTGTCAATGATTAGAATAATCTCGTGAAGTTAGGCAATAAAATGTTAAAGGCACTTAATTTGAAACATTTTTATTTTCAGCAACTTATGGCTATTTGTGTCTAATTTTACCACCCTCAACCATAACAAACTTCGCAAACTGTACAAAGGAGCATGTAAAAAAAGGGGAAATGAAAAACATGATAAAAAAGAGGTAATAAATGTGATTGTTTTTTTCATGAGCACTTTTTATTTACATTAATAAAAATAAAGGTAAGAAAAATATGTTGAATGTCTCATGGGGAATATTTATATAATTTTTAATTATGAATTGCAGGATGCTGATTCTAAACATAGAAATAATCATTTAAAGAGAGGACAGGAGAAATCAGATAAAGATGTTCTTTCAAAAAAACAGAACTTAATGCACAGAAATGATCGCCATCATCATCATAACCAACCATCATCACAGCATCCTCACCATAAAGAAAGGTATTTTCATTATATAATTTTGTTCCGTACAATTACTTGCTTAATAAGAAAAAGGGGTTTCATATATGCAGTCACTTTTACTATGAATGATTTAATCTAGGATTGTTATTAGTTTTTCATAATAAATTATAGCATATTTCCATTGTAAAATAATAAATGTAATGTTTTTTACCACCTCAACACAATTTTATATGATTAATGTGCAAGATATGAGATTGCTATGATGAAAGCTTATGCTTTAACCCAGCTCGCTTGGAGTCTTTTTGACTATGAAGAATAACAAATCTGAGCAGTCTTAAGTAAGGTTTAGCAAACACTAACAATAAAAGAAAATAATTTTTATAATTGGGGATATTTTTAAATGTAGATAGCATGTAAACAGATATAACACTATTATTACCTGTTTCCAATACAAATAATTTTCATTATTTTATTTTGCATATTTGGATGTGGGGGTATTATTCAATGGTTTTCTTATTTCAAATTATTATTATGAACTGTCTTGCATTGTTTAAGTCTCGTCCCCCATTAGGCATTGATTGACAAAGTCGTGAACACTCTTAAAAAAGTTAAAGGATGCATAGTAAAACTTCTGAACTTAAAAAAATATAAAATCATACACTTGTGACTTATTTCATAAAGTAAATGATGAAATTATAAAATATATAGCCATTTACATGTCCTAACTAAAAAGTAGAAAGTTCCTCTGTTCTTATAATACCTTCTTGGCACACCCCCTGATTGGGAAACCCTGTAATGGTAATTAGTTCCATATTTGGAATAACTTACTTGAAAATATGTTGTTGTTTTTTTTGTTGTTGTTTTTTAAAATTTTAGAAGTATTGCAATGAATAGGAAGAATATGGTTTGGGATTAAAATTAAATTAAACCTTGATTATGGTTATTTTTGCTTTTTGAGAATGGCATTCTGAACTTTTAAGACTATAAGAATGCTCAAAGTAAGCCAAAGTAACAAACACTTATCTATGAGAATGCTTCAAAAATATTTTTTTACAAAGTAGGCAATTTTTTTCATGGTTGATAAAAACTTAACAAAACTTGCCATTATGAAAGCTAATGCATTAACCCAGCTCGCTCTGAGCTAATTAGGATTTAAGAGAGACAAATCTGAGCAGAGCATTATTCAAATGTACAATTATGTTTTCAAGAAATACATGTCAGACTAACTTAAAAATAAAAAAAAATAAAAAATAGAATTTTAAATTATTTTAGAAAATAGGAATGTATGAGTTATGATTTCAATCATTCTTAAACACAATTATGAATGCTGCTATTTGTATGGCTTTAGGGACTGGCAAAAAAGTACATTCCAAAAAGTCAACCTTCACATTTAATATGTTTTTAAGTAAATAATATATATGAAAATATTTAATACCAAATTATTCAATGAACAAATCCAAAATTGCCATGATGAAAGCTTATGCTTTAACCCAGCTCGCTTTGAGCCTTTTTGGCCTTGAAGAGTGACAAATCTGAGCAGTTATGAAATGTACATTTTTTAAGTTTCTGGAAATAATTGTTATATCTTGACAAATAAAATAAGTATATTTAATGTGAATCTGATTTGAAAATGTATTAAGAAAATAGAAATACTTTTATAAGCTTAGGATTTTAAATAAGACATCCATAAAACAAGTAAGACATTGTTATATTTACTTAATGGGCACATTTTAAAATGTTGCTAGTTACTTAAAATGTGGAAGTTGGAACAAATACATACTATATACAGGTTATATAAAATTTAAGTAATGTCTGCGGATCAAACTGCAAGAAAATAAGCATATCCTCAAAGTACTATGATGAAAGCTAATGTGAAACCATGCTGATTTTGAGCCTTATGGCTTTCAAGAGCAATGAATCTAAGCATTCACATCAAGTTTAAGTAATAAATAGTGGAACAAAATAATGTTTAAGCTTGAAGAGAAATGACAGGAGTGTTACATTATGCAAAAACAAATAACTGCGTTATATTTTATTGGAGAAAGCACATTTTTAGAAACTTGAGAAATGGAACAAGATTATATAAATTAAGAAGTTTTAATATAAAACATTAACCTTTAGGAAGGACATTGTGCTAACATTTTCCTCTTTATTGGAAGATAAAAACAATAATATTGATTAGAAAGTTTTTTTAGATTGCTGTGATGAAAGCTTATGCTTTAACCCAGCTCGCTTTGAGCCTTTTGGCTTTGAAGAGTGACTAATCTGAGCATTTATCAAACATCCACATTTAAGTTTCTTGAAATAAATGTTAATGTGTCTAAACACAAATGGTTAGAAATAACTATTCGATGATCATCAGTTTTATAAAAAAATTCTTTTTAATTTTGGAAACAGGGTTTTTAGAAAACAAGTATGATATTGTTATACTGTCTTAATGTGAACATTAAAATTGTGCCACGTAAAAAAAAAAGTGGAAGAAGGAATAAATATATAAACTGACAGTTCATATAAAATTTTAGTAAAGTAAATCTAAAACACTCTAAAAACAAAAGAATTACTTTGATTGCTGATATGGCTGTTCATAAGGAAATGTAAATATTAAGATTGCTATGATGAAAGCTTATGCTTTAACCCAGCTCGCTTTGAGCCATTTTGGCTTTGAAGAGTGAGAAATCTGAGCCTTATTCTACATGCATTATTTAATGTCTGGAAATAAATGTTTAAGTCTGCACAATTTATATAATAAAAAATTTTTCTTTAATGTCAATATTTTTTTAAAATCTATATTAAAAAATGAAAAATACTTTTGTGAGCATAGTATTAAAAATACAAAATGAGAGATTATTATAAATAATTTAATAGTGGGCTTGCTTAAAATTGTGATACTAAAATGAAACTGAAAGATGGAGCAATTATTTATTTACTGACAGGCTATGTAAAATTTTTGCTTAGTTTCAAAATTCTGAAACCCTTATAATACCCGGTAACATAGTATTTTCCATGATTGCTGATAAAATTGTATATAAGGAATTTTAAATACTAAGTCTGCTATGATGAAAGCTAATGCTTTAACCCAGCTCGCTTTGAGCCTTTTGGGCTTTGAAGAGTGAGAAATCTGAGCCTTATTCTACATGCATTATTTAATGTCTGGAAATAAATGTTTAAGTCTGCACAATTTATATAATAAAAATTTTTTCTTTAATGTCAATATTTTTTTAAAATGTATATTAAAAAATGAAAAATACTTTTGTGAGCATAGTATTAAAAATACAAAATGAGAGATTATTATAAATAATTTAATAGTGGGCTTGCTTAAAATTGTGATAGTAAAATGAAACTGAAAGATAGAGCAATATTTATTTACTGACAGGCTATGTAAAATTTTTGCTTAGTTTCAAAATTCTGAAACCCTTTTAATACCCGGTAACATAGTTTTTTCCATGATTGCTGATAAAATTGTATATAAGGAATTTTAAATACTAAGACTGCTATGATGAAAGCTAATGCTTTAACCCAGCTCGCTTTGAGCCTTTTGGGCTTTGAAGAGTGACAAATCTGAGCATTTATCAAATGAAAATAAATTTTAATGCTTTGCTTTACATTCTTTTTCTGTTGGCAGAAAGTTTTTAAAAAAATATTAATTTTAAATAGAATTTTAAATAATTTAAAAAAAAAAAAAAAAAGAAAATCTTGGGTTTTAATGAATTTTAAAACCTGTTCTCAATGCTTGGTAAATTTATAAAATGAAAATAAATTTTAATGCTTTGCTTTACATTCTTTTTCTGTTGGCAGAAAGTTTTTAAAAAAATATTAATTTTAAATAGAATTTTAAAAAATTTAAAAAAAAAAAAAAAAAGAAAATCTTGGGTTTTAATGAATTTTAAAACCTGTTCTCAATGCTTGGTATTGTGTGGGTTATTTTTATGAACGGTACAAAATAAAGTTATACCACACTCATTTAATGTATTTTTAATGAAAATAATTAAATCTGAAAATAATGATACTTAATTATTTAACAATACATATTCTATTAGTTCTGATAAACTAAAAAAATATAATTTGATGAAGAAACTTTAAAATTGCTATGATGAAAGCTAATGCTTTAACCCAGCTCGCTTTGAGCATTTTTGGCTTTGAAGAGTGACAAATCTGAGCATATATATACAATTTTCCCTTATTTGCATTTCTTTAAAGATAGTTTTTTTTTATTGTATTGCCAAAAAAAGCTACTGGAATATAACCTGTGATTATAAAACCAAGTATACCAAAAAATATAAGCATCAATTTAAATCCTAAACATTTAGGAAGGAAAAAGTTTATGCCCACACTTTCCTCCTTCTTGAAAAATTAAAATGGTAATCAAATTGATAAAAAAAGTTTTTCAAGAGAGTTATACTGAAAGCTAATACTTTAACCCAACCTCAACATGTCTTTATGTTTATGGAAATAAATTGCTCATGTTTTTTGAAAATAAATATGGTAAAACTGATAAAACTGAACACAATAAAATTAGTTAATCCTTGTACTGCTATGATGAAAGCTAATGCTTTAACCCAGCTCGCTTTGAGCCTTTTGGGCTTTGAAGAGTGACAAATCTGAGCATTTATATCAATTTTCCCCCATTTTTAAAATTAAAAAAATTTTGTTGAAAAATTTACAGGCGTTTAACCTGAGATATAAAAACCAAATATACCTAAAAACATAAGCATTAATTTCAAATCTTTTTAGTAACATTTAGCAAGGAAAAGTCCATGTCCTGACTTTCCTCTTTATTGAAAAACTGGAATAGTAAACATGAATTTAAAGAAAAATTAGTTTTTTTTCCATTGTATGATGAAAGGTAATGCTTTACACCAACTTGCATTGAATCTATTGGCATTGAAGAATGATACAGCTGAGAAGTCTTAATTCATACTTTTCTTTATTTTTAATGTATCCCTCTATTCAAATTCATAACGTTGGTTTTGTAAAAATATAAAACCTTATTCATTTTTAATTGATAAAATTGAGAATTCGCAGAGAAAATTTGAGCTTGCAATTATTAAAGAAAGAAGAAAAAAATTGTATAGAGGTAGTGGGAATTTAATCTTGAGCATATATTTACCCAGCCATGTAAATAGTCATCACAACAAAGGACATCATCAGAGAACTGCACCACCCCATCAACAACCTCCATATCGCACAGGGGTTGCAAAAGATGGAACATTATCTGCCGAACCAGGTGGTGCAAGTCCTAGTAACCCTTGGACTCTATCCAGTCCATTGTCTCGAACAGAAGAGGTTACTCGTAACAGGTAAGTTATTGAAAAAATTGTATTATTTTATCATACAAATCACAATTATGTGTTGTTCCCAACCATCAATAATTTTTGTCCAACACCTGCAATGTATAAATATATAATATATAGTCATCCCAATTGGTTTTTGTCACTTCCTGGTGTTGTGAATCCATTTATAATTTTTAAAAAAATTGTTTCATTTTAAAAATGTCATTTCACTAGAATATTTGGATCTTAACCTCATATGTACAGATGTTTTATAGAGTATCCTTAAGGAGGACTCCCTTCTCCTACACACACACAACCCCTTCCCAACAAACATTTTTTTAATTTGCATCTTTAATGGTCTCTAGTTCTAATGGTAGCTCAAAAATCCCTGCTTATGTTTTTAACATATCTTAATTCAATTACTCTTGGAACAAATTGTTTGCTTTTACTAAATTAGTTTTAACTTGAGAAGCATAAACTATATAGTATATTTTATTTAGCAGAAAATGTATAAAATGAATAGAATGCAACATTGTCTTTGCATCTGTGTAATACTCTAGATCATGATTTTACTTTCTCTTTATTTGATTTATTCTTTGTCTGTGCAGCAGTGTTTTTAGTGCATGATAAACCTCAAAACTGCACCTGTCCTGCATTTGATATTTGTTCGATCCTGTCATGTATTCTTATCCTCCATATTTAAAAAAAAAATACTTAAAATTGAATTCAGTCATAAAACCCTTTCTGCTATGCATATCACCTAAAAGTTTTAAGCACTCATTTCTAGCATTCTGCTATTACAATTTAGTTTTATAATTGTAATAAATTCTGTATGCTGATAATAGAAATTGTAAGCAATTTATATTGATATTAATATAAAAAAAGTGACATTCAGGGTTTGTAAGTAAGAATTTTACTTACTTTTAAAAATTTTAAAAAGGCAAATTCGAAGGCAAAACATTATAAACTTGAATAAAAAGTATATTCAGATGATATTTAAAAGCTGCTTTTTAAAATTTAATTATCTTTTATAATTCCCTAATTGATCTTGTCTGCCCCATTCTTATCGAACCCATGCTCTCATGAACCAAATACACACAAAAGAACACATTCCTTACCCATCGCTCATTGACATTTTACAAGCCATGCCTAAAAGGTAGACAAATGAAGGTCAATATAACTAAGCATTAGCGTATATATGGATCGCCATCTGGAATTATTGTAAATTATGCTCCACTTCCCGTATTTTACAAATGTTGCCTCAGCTAGTGATTTAATACTGTACATATTTTAGTTTTAGTTACACAAATATAAATAAGTTAATCAATAAATTTGGAAACATGAATGTGACGTCAGTTCTTGAATTTTAAAAATAAATAAGAAATGATCCTTTGAATCCAAAAATTTAGGTAAAACTTGTTTTAGACCTTTTTTTGTCTTTTACATTATAACTCAGTGTTCAGACACTTTTTCTAAAAACTTGCATGCAGCTTCAAAATAAAATTTAAAGATGTTGGTATGGGAAAAAAATTACATTGATTAATGTTAACAATTTTTTTAGACGAACATTGTAAAGACATATGTGTCATTAGAATGCTGGTTCTGTTTGTACAAGTGCTGATGCTTTAAAATAATGTTTTAGTCTTAAAAATTCAGCCCCTGCTTTCTGCTGCTTTAATTTTTTAATTAAAAAAAAAAATTAGTGTAAATATAGTGATTTTTATAAATAATCTATAAATTATACATTTTTTTTACAGTGGATGTGTTCTTAAAAGTGATAAAAGATGTAACACCAAAAAATGGAAATTTTGCTTTACACAAAAAAAACTTAGATTAAATTTCATTTCTGATTTCTTAAAACTTTTTAATGAAAAAGGAAGAATAAAAGTAAAAGCTAAATTTGTTCCAAACTAAACAATTCCACAATTTTCATTATCTTTGGAATCGAGAAAAATATTAATTTCCAAATTTAAGCCAAAGCTCTACAAATAATGAACTGGAAAGCAGCACTAAGCAGCCTACTCCATAATCCTAGATACATACTTATATATGTTATATTTTGTTTTCAAGATACATGCACCTCTTTTAAGTATAATTTGTATGAAATTTTTCACTCTTCAAAATTAAGAACATGTCCTGTCGTACTCAAAATTTTGATCACTCTGTTAGTCCAATCCATTGTTTTCCACACCTATTCTCACCACTGGCTTTATTTTGTTTATGGAAATGGGGCATGAATGTTGTCATGTTGTCTTGTCTGGTATTCACAGATATGATAGTGCATACAACCGCCATCCCCACCCCAATTCCTACACTAGTCATCATGAGCCGCATCGTGGTGACAGAGCCTCATCAGCAACAACTACAGACTCCAAAGATTCTTATTACAGGTGAATACATTCAAGAAACTAATCTACTAACAACTCAAGGATTGTCATTGATTTGTTCATGATCAACATTTGAACAATCAATTTGTAAATTTAAAAACTTTAATATAATACACTTAACCCATTAGCTTCAATATATCGAAGAAGACATGACGTGCAACTCATTGATTATACTTCTAGAGTGATATAGAAGCTTATCATTCTGTGGTGTGCTATATGAGTCTCAGTTGACAAATTTTGTCATTATATTTGTTGTACTTAGAATTTTGTATTGTCAGGATTTTAAAACATTTTGATGTGTTAAGAATGTCATGTGTGTATAAACAAGGGATCAGGATTCTTTTCCAAAACTGTATCAATAAAATAAACTTCATTTAAAATATATCATAGGCTAATTATGTTAACAGGTCGTGTTTCTTAATTTACAAATTATGTCCCAACAACCAACATTTGCTTATATTACACAATACTAACTATCCCAACACAATAAAAACTATTTTTAAAATATTTTGATTTTTAAAAAAAATTGTCATAAAAATATCTCTGTACCAAAAAATCTAAATTCAGGTTACATTGTAAAAACAGTTTACCATGTTCATTTATTTTCCCAAATTTGATCTTGTATATTTTGTGTTCAGTAATCACCATTTAATCCTTTAGAGAAAAACATTTCCTCTAAATAATTGTTATTGCTTATTGTTTGCAGTAGTAAGTAAAAGCTTCTTATCACACCTTAAAGCTGCACAATTTTTCCTTGAAAATCACAAGTAGGCTAGAATATTGATGCAGTGCAACAAAAAATTAAATACAGAACAAAAGCATGACATGGATGTGGCATGCTTTAACTTTTGTTTCAATGCTCAGTAAAATGATGTGGAATAAAGTAAATTATTTATAGCATTGTTTTTATGACTACATAATACTTGCAGACTTAATAGATGACGAAAGTGTCATGAATCTTAACATTTTATTACACTTGAATCGGTTTATTTTGCAAATTTAAGAAAACACAGATGAATGAAAGAATTATTATTCTTCATCAGGTTTAACAATGACCGTCAAGGGCCAGGCGGTCAACATTACCATCGTGATTTCAGAGGAAGAAATGAGCATAGAGCAGGTTATCGACCTGATCCACATAGGAGTGACCACTACCGTCCTGAGTATGGTAATCATTATAGGGACCAGAGCGGTGGTCAGCAACAATCACAACATTACAACAGAGAAAGAGAGCGAGGTGGAGATGACTGGGGTCCAAATAGGTCAGTTGTGAAACATAAAAGCCTGCATTTTGTAATTATAAAAGTGATACTATAATTACCAACTCCTAGTTTTCTATGTATAATTTTAGTAGGCACGTAAAAATGAAGCTATGCTGGTAATGTTGATAATTTTACAATTTTTATTTATATATTTACATTAAGCTTGAGACTATCTTCCAAACACAATTTATTCTCAAAGAGCATTGGCATATGCAGACCGAGTTGAATTATTTGAGAAGGCAGTTCATTCTGAATATATTTTAATTTAACATCAATGTAAAAAAATGGAGACTTAAGTGAGGGATATTTCTGTTTTAGTTTATGGCTAAAGATATTTGGTTTAAGTATAGCACATAGGACTCACATTTTTCATCACTTATTTTGAGCGATATAACTTTCTTGACTAAAGCATAGTGATGGTGACTAAAGCATAGTGATGGTGAAGGAGGATACATTTACAGAGTTTAGATAATAAACTTTATTTAACCTTTTACCTATATACACATTTGTAACATTCATGAAAATCATCAGGGTTTTATTAGCATCAGCAAAATTATAAAAAAAATTGTATACAAGACACCTCAAAACTACATTTTTTTTTTTAAAGCATCAAGAACTTTTTAAAACATTGTTTATTGTAATCAGACAACTTAAATTTTGCTAACTTTGCAATTAAAATTTTCATGACACTAACTTAAGAGACCTCACATCATCTTAAATGTAATCTTACAAACAGTTCTTAAACAAATAGCTTATAACTTGTACTCTGCACTATCAGGTTTGCAAAGTCATAGGCACGAATCTATAATAACTAAAATTATATTTGAGAACTACAACTGTAAATCTGAAAAAAAAATGTTTTATATTACACGAAAGTATTATTAAAATTTTTTTTATCTGGATGAGTATTTATATTATATGTAGGTTTAGGGTTCTCTATTATTCCAAATATAAAGTATTAACGTGTTCAGCTATTCGCCTAATTATTATAAATGAATTTTATCATTGGCTTGTCCTTGTCTTTATTTTATCAAGATATGTGAATATTTATTTTTAAAATAAGATACTTAACTTGAATAACTTTTCAAGCTTTTCAATTAAAAATTATTGAATCATGAATTCCAGGCCAGGGTGGTAAATAATAGTCAAGCCACGTTGCTGCAGCAGATGTGTGGTACTGACTGTTAAATTGCTAAATTAAATATAAAAAATAAAATAGTTGATTTTATTAAAGTTAAAGCATAAATCATAATTAGCGTCAGGTCAGTGGGAGTACCAGCACTTTCACTTGTTCACTGTCAACCAGTTAGAGTTTGCTAAAAATTCTTAACCCCAAAAATGTGAGGTACTGTGAATTAATTTGTTAATTATTATATGATCAATGTTTCAAATGTTACAAGGATTAAAAAATGTTTATAGCTTCAAAGTCTATTCTCATGATAAAAAAAAAATTAGATTTTTCTGCACCAAACCAACATAATTACCCCTCCCATTTCAAAAGTAAAATGAGAACTTCTATAATGACCCTAATTTGTTTAAATTCTGTCTAATACAGTCACCACAACTATCAGGGAGATAGAAAACGTAGAGGAGAGAGACCAGGAGAGGACTATCATGATTGGGAGCGACGTTCTAACAAAGATCCCAGACTTGAAGCCAAGCCTCGGTTTCCACATCCTCAGCCCCCTCCACCAGGTGACTCACCCCCTAGCTTTCCTCATCACTAACCATAGCCCTGCCTCTGGGACAGGAAGGACATTATTCAATGCACATCTAACATAATCACCTCAGCAAAGTTTTTTTTTTTTTAATGCCATTTGTCAGCAGGTCCAAATGTAACAATTTTTAGGCATTATCAGATAAAGGTTCAAAGCAAATATTTTGTTGTAAAGAGATTCTATTGATACACTATGTGGCTCAATTAAATCAACGTTTGAAATATCCATGGTCAATTACTTAGTAACAAGTTTTGCTAGGAATGTAAAATAGGCAGCTGCTGGGAGATGTCAAGATTTATTTTTAAATTTAATTATGCTTCAACCAATGGAAAATTGTGGAGTTTTTCATTTATTCTGGTTGTGATTAACTAAGAACTGCATGGCTATGAAATTTTCTATTTTTCTTTCATATCAAAATTTTCAAAGATCATAAAATGGTGATATAATGAAAAAGCAAGAAATGGTTTCATAACTTGGTTTATATTCTGAAGTTAATTGTTATGAGTTTAACAAAAAGTTGGATGCTTTCAGTTTTAATATAAATGATAGTTAACTTTTGATACTGGGTACTATACCCATAGCTGGAACTTGGTAAAATAAAAGAATTTTAAATTATGAATTGTAATGCATATTGAAAATATTATCAGTAGCTGACATTTAAAAAAGAATTTAACTTTTAATGAACAGTAATTTTGAGACTTGTGGAGTTATGTCCCTCTCTGGCTGACATTTTCACCTGTGACACTGCACATATTCCAATTTGTTGTTTGGTAAATTTGCAGTTCCTTGCTTCCAAAGTCTTTCTTGCTCATGGTCAAATTATAATTATTGCTTTAGTCTCTTGCAATCACCAAAAAAAAATTAAATAGTTAAAAAATGACACATTGCCACATTTATGTAAAGACTATTTTCTGTTTGTGTCCACTTTGATTATAGATTCAAATTATGTCTGGCAGCATTTTTTTCTGTTCTTTTCATTTTGTTCAAATGAACTTTTCATTTGTTAAACAAAATCTTATTTTATAAACATTGTACATATTTACATATTTCAAGGTAGTTTCTGAAGTAAAAGTTTGTTTATATTTCCAGCTTCTAAGAAGTGGCAATGAGTATACATTTTCTCCAATCATGTTAGACACCCATTAATTTCCATAAACAAATGGATAACTTAAAATAACCCAGTTTGCGTTCAAACAAACTGTATAATGTTGATGTAGTTATTTGCAAGAGCACTTACAATAGGATATAACAGAGCTTTCCAAATTGTGTGGCACTTAAGTAAGTCGGCTACAGTGACTGGGAAATCCCTGAGTCTATATAAAATAAGCAATCCCAATTTCATGGCAATCTCTGGTTGTATGTTACACCATTTTCTTAAGAAAAGTAATGAAGATTATCTGCCATTTATTAACAAAATAGAAATATCTGGAACAAGATAAGTGGAAGCTTGAATATCAAAACAAGACAATAACGAACGTTTGGACTTAATGCCTACAGTAAAACTGTTAGCATTAAAAATATCTTAACAGCAGTAGATGAAATGTATGCCCTAATGGATATCACAGCAACTGGAAGTGACCAAAGAAATGTGTTTGAAATGTTTTAAATAACTGCCTCGTGTGAGCTAAAATGTATCAGCTAATAAGAAGAGTTTGGAAAGCTCTGAGATAACTGAATATGGTCTGGATAGCTGACTGTTGGCCATTTAAGAAATATTTGATGAACACCTTGTTAAACCAAACTGTCTGAGTAAGTTTGAAACCATTGATTTCTTGTATTTATTACTGACAGTCACAGACCTGTTTACCCTCAAACTCTTAAAATCGTACAATATCATCACAAAATCGTTCGATACACTATCTTAATAGTAAAAAAATAAACATGTATACACCTCAAAATCGTACATTGTACGCCAAAATCGTAAGAGTAAACAGGTCTGCAGTCAATGTAAGCAATTGAGATCACTGATGACTGCTTTAAAATAAGCTAGCCTTTAATTTTAATGCTTTAGGACTTCTGATTTTTAGTATATTTTAAATTTTAATTTCATTCTCATGCCTTTATCAACTTGGTGAGATACAAGATTAAGCCTACACCATTTAAAAATGTTGAATTCCTGTAGACAAGATGTGTTGATAAAATGTTACGGTATTATTAATGGCATTGGTCCTCTCAGCAAGAAACAATGAAGGTTGTTGATGATCCGCGATTTGTCCCCATTTCCCAACTGAATGGCAATCATATCTCAATGTCCTTTCTGTCTCGGTGGCATCAGTCAGCTGGAGTGCCTGTTACAGAAGACTTGTTACCAATGTCATGCTCATGGTATGTTTGTCAGAATGATTTATTCACTGGGATGTACATTTTCATGATTAATATAATGACGGTGAATGTGAACTTTCAAATTACTGTGTGTCTTTGATGATTGCAACTCCATGTTTATGTTATGGGTAAGACGTGACATGGCTTTATGAAATCTTGTCTGTTTTGCTCTAAATAACTTATTGCAATGTAATGACATGAGTACTTCATAGTAGAGAATATTTTGTTTCCATTTCCATTTGTGTTACATGAACTTACCATCTCAAGCCTACTTTATTTCATGTGTTCATTTATCATTCTTTGTTCTGGCCAATCTTCCAATGTTTAATTAACCTGTTTCCAAGCTGGGGAAACAGATTTCAAAATAAAGTCTACAGATGATTTAAGGATAATTTTTAGAAGCTTATCTCTTGAGTCCTTGGAAGGTGGGTGGGGTTGAGGGGGGTGTGTCTCTTAAACTCAATTCAAAAGCCAGACAGGTTGCTTTAGAAAATTCATAGTTTGATTTTAGTCTTGGGCACATCCTGTATGAGGGTTCCAATAACTGGACCTGGTATAGGTAGAGTGTTGAACTTGGTTGTCATATTATGGACTAGCCTTTAAATCCTTATCGGCATTAAGTCTTGTTGGCGCTAAATCTTGTGACAGATAGTTTCAGTCTGGATGTACACATAGGGTACATCGCTGGTCTACTACATTTTCCACAGGTCCACTTGGCTGTGGAAGGACTCCCAAAAAGCTGTCAACTGAACAGTTGTATCTATCAGAAGAAGACTTTAGATGAGGTGACATGTGATGTTTAGTTTGCACTATCATCTAATGATACTGTGAGCTGACCCTTGAAATACAATTGTTATACTGACATGGTTCCATCTTTGGCTTGTTTTTTTATGTATGACAGTGGGGCTAGTGCTTAGTAAGTCATTGGATAGATCAATGAGGCATTCATGTCAGTCTTGTTCAAATAAATAATTAAGGATGATAAAGCAGTTGCTTATTATTGTGTCAGGCTATTTGGATGAATGAATTGTGTTTACTTGTACGACATGGTCATACTTAGGATACATATTAACTACTGCTTCAAGGCGGTCAAATCAGGAATATGATCTCACCTGAAATAGGAGCTGGTTGGAAGATATTGTAACTCAACAACAATTTTTCAGTTATCTGCATAAGGTAATGCAAGTTTGTGCGTGATACAAATATGCTCTTTATTTGAATTTACTTTTGTTTTCTAGATTTTTAGATCTGTGAGCCTATCAAAGTTTCAATGATTGTTCTTTTTGTGTTTCTTTTGTTTGACACCCATGTAGCTGTGTATGGGAGGAAGCTATTGATTGAAATGTGTGAAAGCCTCATTCAGTTATGTGTGTGTTTAAACTTTGTAGTCATTGGTTTTCTGTACATAATGTAAATAATGAAAGAAAATAAAAATAATGAAAGAAATATTGAAAAGTTGATTGTGTTCAATTATTTTAACAAGTACCGGTAGGTGGAGACTGGTGTAGTGGTGCAAGTCACGGATCAACAGTCACTGGGAAGTGTGATGGTTCTTGAGTGAGGCACGTCTGCTTAGATTTGTATGATGAAAATATAGGGAGTTGGAAGGGCTACTGAGGGTTAATTTAAGGGTGGCGGCAGGAAACTAAAGCTTAATGATGGAAAGTAGTTGTAAATCATACACCTCTAATATAAGTCTTAGTGTGTTGTTAACCTCAGGGTGCTTTGAAAAACAGGAGATCTGGATTTACTATACATAGATCAATTTCCTCCGGATTTTTTGAGTAAAATTTCACCCCTACATTTTTTTTTTTTTGTGAAGTCCCAACAAATCTTGCTCCACATTCTAATCTCGCATCGTTTTTTAGCCTACTCATACCTTCCCTTAACCGAATGCATTCCCTCCCTTTCTGAATGCTATCGCTTCCCTCTCCCATGGTTCATGGCTCTACAAGAAACAGATGTAGTATCGACACATTTGTCATTAATTTGCCATTTCCCTGCTTTTCTTCACCCACCACTGACACACACACACACACAACCAAAACACACGTGCGGTGCTCGCTCCAAGTGGACGAGTGCGATAGCGCGTGCTTTTCTTTTTGTTTAGCCATCCCATAATGCACCGCATGTCAATCCACCACTCGTCCTAGGTGCTCTCCTTGCTCTCTCCTAGAAACCAGCATTAATAAAAAAAATAATGTAATATTCTGTAGAGGTATCTTGCTACAGAAATTCTGGTGGCATATTCATTCTTTAAAAATAATAAATGAACATACAAATAAACTAATTCCATTGGAGGTTATTTATAGACCCATTCTAATCTATGATATTAAACCAATCCCCCCACCATCATTATTTCCACTCAACACATGAAGCACACATTTGAAAAAATAAAAACAACTTACTAAATGCCACGGCTAAATCATAATTGTTTGTTTGTAAAACAATTATTCACTAAAGAAACAAGAAGGAAATGGTTGTCATTTGCTCAAAACATAAATTGCTTGCAAATGCTTCATTTTCACATCTGATGCATCCGGTGAATTCAGTTAGATGAATTAAGGCTTTGTACAGCAATACCTTATGTTAGCCATGAGTTGGAACTATTTAGTATTTTGCCTTATTCCAAACATTTGTTGATCTGGACACATATATATATATATATATATATATATATATATATATATATATATATATATATATATATATATATATGCA